CCTGTGTTCAGACAGAAGCATACTACTTAACATTATTAAGCTAATAAAAATAAATGAAATTCAAGTTGGATGAGACTACAGAGACAGAAGTGCTGCAGATATAAAGAGAAAGATTCCCTGGTATCACCAAACCATGGAAAAGAAAGAGACTAAAATAAATGGCAGTCCTACCTCTCGGAATGAACACTGAACTCTGTGCCTACTTTGGGGCAAGACGGAATCAATGCAACTGAATTTACTAGCGAGGATTCCTCCCAACTAATAATGTAAAGGCAGAGTATCTTGCTCTGAGGGAAACTATAGAATAAAAAGAAATTAAAGAAGCAGTAGAAGACAGGTGGTTCTAAAAAAGAAATAAAACCAACACAAAACTGCCAAAAAAAAGCCAGGACTGCTTTCCTGCAGTGAAATTCACTGCGCCATGAAAGAAAACGATGTCAGGTACCACTAAAATTCTTCATTTTTTGGTTCTTTTTTTTTAGTGCTCCATCACCAAAAAGTCCTTCTGTTCCTTTCTACTCCCTTCCTTACAAATAATGTCAATAAATAAAAGATGCTGTCTCCTAGAAAAGAAATGTTTGTGACATATGAACACTTTGGTTTGTTTTCTTCCTCCCCCAGAGGTACACTCCAGGTAAAGTTTCTCTGGAGACTGACAGTAATCCCCAAAAGAACTTCTAGAACTTCAGTTTTGAAAGCAAAGTTGGACGTGGCAAAATTCATCACAGTACACTGAAACAAATTCAAACTGCTACCTGTCATACTTTAGACTCCACAGAAGTCAAAGGTGCTTCTAGAAGACCACACTGAAGTATTGATTCTCAATTGTTCTTTTCCGAACTAGGAAAACATGACTCATACATAGGAGTCAATCCTGTATCTAACAGCGTCCAACACATAATTCAGATGATACAACAAAGGAAATCTTAATTAAATCTACCACTTACACAAAACCTAGATAAAGCATAGCACGGTAAAGCACAGGATTACAATTCAAAGTTATCTGCACAAAATGAAAGAAAAAACCAACAAACCCAAAACACCCCAAAATACTTTAAACAGGGAGCGCTTCATTAAGGAGAAGTGCAAAGCAATACAGCTAGTAGGAATAATCAACTGCAAAAATTGAAGACAGGGATCAAGAGAGTGTATTGCAGTTTTGCAGAAAACAAGAAAAATAATAGACCACAGAATGCAGATATTGTCAGTGTTAGAATGTAAAAAAAACAAAACAAAACAATACTGAGTTGTAAAACAAGGAGCAAAATATCGAAGGCACAGGGAATGCCAACTTTTTTCTTACCAACAAGATGAGAAAGTTAGATCAATTGGACTGCAAAGGAAATAATAGATCATTTGGAAGATTTATTTGTTTACTTTAATTACCAGCATATTTGTTTTTAACTCAGTCTAGAGAGTAAGGGATGACATACATATGCCAGATACGTAAGACGTTTTTACTAGCTGTAGGAAAATGCTTGTATACGTATTTATGGTAGATGTGTAAGTACTGAGCTTCAGAACTCAGGAACATAGATTTAATTTACAGGAAAAAAAAAAAAACAGAAAAAAATCTAACCATAAATAAACACTGCCATGTATGTACAAGACCTGCTGTCAGAAATTTAAGAGTATATTAAGAAAAGGCAGTGGCTGCCCAACTTTTTCAGCCAGAGGATCAACGCCAATTAGACCCCAGACTCTGCAGATAATTACTGAAACTGAAGAGGCAAGGCAGGATGTCTTGCTTGCATACCATTGAACACAGTGAACAACAGATGCTTTATTTTTTTTTTTACAGTAATCAAAAACATTTAAAAAAAAAAAAAAAATAAAAAATCAAGCAAAGAACTTGATTCACTACTAGAGCATCAGTTTGTCACTGACACTAGTTGTCAAATAGGAGTATTCACAGGTCATATGTATACCTGAGAATGAAGAAGTTATTTCCATCTGCAGGTCACTGCCCTAAGCAATGAGTGCACCAGCTACCAGACTTCATGGTTTTAGTTCCCTGTAGTTCCCTGTGTAGTAAGAGGAAGCAGTAGATACTTCAAGCCTCAGAAAAAAGAAATCACATTAAAATATTTCCCAATTGAAAGGCAGAAAATAATTCCTTTTGTTATTTCCATTTTATTAATTCTATTCACCTTTATTCTTTCTGTAAGCTTACTGAGCTTACAGTCTTCAAGCCTAATTCAAATGTGAAGGTATGGAAATGGATAGGCAAACACTATCACTGAAGTACATCATCAGAAAAAAATTAAGGAAAGCGGCTAGGACAACAGCTTAGGAGCATCTATGTTTACACAGCACTGTATGTCATCCAGTCTGCACGTGGAAAGGAAGAAGAGATCTGCACTTCAAAAGGATCTAGATAGAGTTAGAGGTTTCTACCAGCTCCACACTGGAATAAGAAAGAAGTGGGCTTAGTCTGTCAACATGTTCCTGAGATACGTTCCTGCATCTCCTCGACAATACGCCTTGCAGTCATAGGGACTCAAATACCACATGCTTCCATATAGTTGTGGACAGAACAAGTAAAGATGAACAAACAGAAAATACAAAGTGTACAGAATATACACTATGCAATAAAAAAGTACCTAATCCTATATTAGAAGCAAATGAAAATACTAGAGCTCTCAGCACAAAAGCATTTCTATGAAGGGCAACTGACTGAACTTGCTGAAAAACTTTTTGCTTAAAGAGAACAATAATCACTCAGAATAATCAGAGGAGAAAGAAGTATAAAGTAAACACCAGTCTATTTTGTTTTCGTCCACTTCTCTGCTCCACTGAATTTAACAGTATTTCTTGAGAAAAGTGCAATTCCAAACCAATGTGGCGTTGGTGTCCAAACCAATTTTTGTTTGTCTAAGCTATCAGTGACCTGAAGAACCCAAGAATGCATATTAGACAACATGCATGCCCGCATCCTTTTTCTACTCAACCTATGGCAGTCCAAGTTTACACTGAACAGAAAATTGCATCTCCACAGAAATAAGAGAAATAGCTTTTAGATTTAATATCTAAAGTCACCTTAGCAAAACAGAGCTTAACCAAAACCATCCCCAAGTTACTGTGAATTAGGCATCACTTGAAATTAAGACATTGTAAGTATTGTTAGAATTATTATAATTCCTCAAACCTGACACCAGTAACAGTTCCAATCAACTTTTTCTACAGCATATTTTACACTTTCTTTCTGCACTGCATAGTTTATCTCACTAAAACTTTACTTTTTTAGTGCAAGACGACATTTTGGTGTTTTATTGCTAAGAAGCACCTTTCTTTCAAACAGAGAAGACACTTACAAATGAAAGGGCCTCTGTACCAAATAAAGAAAGGTAGTGGAACACAAGTAGATTCCTTTTTCCTCCTCATGTCAAATAAACAGTACATTCAGTTCCATAATCTGGGTTGGGCTGCCTTCCCTCCCCTCTCTTTGTACAGACTTAGGTGAAAAGCTTTTTAGACGTATTTCCCAAGTACGACTTTCAAGCTGGAAGAGAGCCAATTAAAACAGGAAACTATTTGTAATATTTCTTCAGGTGTTCCAGAAACTCCAGCCTCCACCATAACTTTTTCCTGCAGTCTGATAGAACTAGACTTCATCATGAAGAGAGGCAAGAAAACAAACAACTAGTTGATGAACTTGAATTCCAACCAGCTACTCAGAACCACTGTGTAACTATTTCCTTTTTGTCTGAAATGGTGGCATGTGACCCATGAAAAAATGACAAGAGTAATGAGAAAAAAAACTGCAGCAAAAGATAAAGGGAAACTCAAAACTGACTAAAAGCATTCCAAGTTATTCAAAGAAATTCTCATTAAAGGATGAGGAACAGACACTACTGTTTGAGAAAGCCCAAATCAGCATTCTGTTCCTCCACTTCACTTACTTTCCAACAGTTTTTGAGAAAGACTACTCATTAACGTACATTATCTAGTGATGCAGACACAGAAAAGTGGCTAGGCAAAAAAGAAACCAAACACTTCATAGAATCATAGAATGGCCTGGGTTGAAAAGGACCACAACGATCATCTGGTTTCAACCCCCTGCTATGTGCAGGATCACCAACCAGCAGACCAGGCTGCCCAGAGCCACATCCAGCCTGGCCTTGAATGCCTCCAGGGATGGGGCATCCACAACCTCCTTGGGCAACCTGTTCCAGTGCGTCACCACCCTCTGTGTGAAAAACTTCCTCCTAATATCTAACCCAAACCTCCCCTGCCTGAATTTAAATCCATTTCCCCTTGTCCTATCACTATCCACCTGTTCCAGTGTGTCACCACCCTCTGAGTGAAACTTCCTCTTAACCATTACACAAACAGAACAATGATGATGAAATGATGCTATAAATACTGATTTTTTGAGAATAAAACATTTGAATGTAAATAACGTATCCATTTTACTACAGCAATACAAGACACGGACCTGGATAAATCTCAGAATTTAGAGAGAATACTCCACTAATACTTGTTACACTGCACGCCTATTTCTATTCACTAGCATTGAACTAAATCCATAACTTTTTTTTTCTTTTTAAACTTCACATAAAAGCTGTGGCTTAAAGCTAAAAATTCTAAAAAGGACAATAACTTCTGCCCAGAGTTTTCTCTCACTTTTCAAGCTCACACTGAGATTTTCTTTCAGCTTTATTCTGAACAAAACAGAAAACACAAGTTCATTAGCTCAGTTTTTGTTTTTTCTTTTTTTTTTTTTTTTTTTTTTTTTTTTTTAAACATAATTTTATGTCAGAGGTCTAAGAACTGCCTTGACGAGAGAACATAAAAACTAACAGAAATCTCTATTAAATTATTTGCTCCGTGTGAATATTAAAGAAGAGATTAACTGAGAGAACAGAAGAGAGGACAACTCAGGAAAAATGATCCACAACAAGTTTACTACAGAATCACTGATGACACAACTGCATTACTGGATGTATTAGGAATTCAGTTCACTGCCTCTACATATTTTCCCCACTTTTTCTACTTACCTAGACCTTTTTGTCCAGGATTTTTTGCAAAGTTAAAAGTAAACTGATAAAAATCTTTGAACTTTGTTGGATCCTTCAGTTCCTGTTCCAGTCGTGGCAATAGAGCTTTTAGTTTTTCTGTGGAGTCACACCTGTTGCAAAAGAGTTTACATTATTTTACTGCTGGTTATTTTAAGGATTAGTTCAGAGCAAAACAAAACAATAGTTACCTTAAAAAGGGAAGGTCTTTTTGGAAAGCCTTTTTAAAAATATGAACAATCATACACCTTTACTAAACAAATTGAGATGGAACATTATACATAGGTCTTCATAAGCACACAACCAAAGCAGGATTGCTTTTGCAGTCTCTTCATGAGTTTATGAATTCAACAATAGATGATATTCTGTTCTTAATGCTGACCATATAAACCTCACTGGAACAGACTCTCCAGGGCAGTGGTCACAGACCCAAGCTGCCAAGTTCAAGGAGCATCTGGACAATGATATAATCAGGTCTGATTTTTGGGTGGTTCCATGCAGAGTCAGGAGTTGGACTCAAGGATCCTCACAGGTGCCTTCCAATTTGGGATATTCCATGATTCTACAAGATCTCTCTTCCTTGCTGTACTATAAGAATCATTCTACTTCTGCCTTCCCAAGCCCATCGTTAAGGTTGTGTAACGTGCCGCTGTAAGGATGACAGGACACTACAGGTCTTTAGCAGCTATTAAGCTCAGCACAGTTACAACCAGCTTTTCAAATGTTCTAGTGAGAAACTGAGCTCAGGCCTTGAATTCTGAACTACACAGACATGGATACTTACCCCAGCTCTGTCATGCCATCTACAAATTCCTTTTTACTGAATTCACACTGAGTAGCCGCCCTGAATTTCCACGCTACGACCAGAACACTGATACTGGCAGGGTCCAGGCTTAAATCGTCACAGAACAGTTGTATTCCATCAATGCCAATTTTATTTTCATCTTGTGGGTCTGCAGTTGAAAATACAAAAAGGATCACTGTAATTGTTCAGAACAATAGTTACCAATAGTCATCATCAGCACATCTGATATGCTGCAAAATTCAAGTTTTTGGTTTTACTTAAGCTTCACAAATGTCTTCACTTGAAATCTAGTTCTAAGTACCTTGAAGAATAACAGTAGGTGAATTAAGTTTTCTGCTTAACTTCCCTAAGAACTGGCTTGTGATTATTTTCTACATTTCCCAGGTAACATTAACAAAACAGGTATCTTCTCTCCATAATGCTCTGTGCAAGATATGAATTAACAGAAAGAAATAAGCCTGACTGAATCTACAACACAGTAAAGCTGGTAAATTCATCACAAGGCAATGTATTGACTGGTTAGAATGTTGTAAAGTTATTAACCAGCCAAACAAATACCTACACAGAATTTTTCTTCATAGCAATAGATGAAAACACACTACAACTGTTTAAAGACCAAAGTTGACTGAAGCATTTTTGGTTTTCATGTGTTAGGAAGGTTACTGCACCATGGTTCAAACAATGCCTCAGCATAACAGGGCCTCAAGCTAAACCTGATGTAGTTCTAAGAGAGGTAAAACGCCATTCTTATATATTTTGAGAGTAACTGAAGATCTGAAAGCAGAATGCATGTGTGCTGAAATCAAGGAATCAAACCCTTAATTGTATTCTTTCCAATCTTTGGAAAGTTTTAAGGCTATAATTTTAGTGTGATCTGTGCTAGAATTGCAGAGGTGTGCTGCTAGCCAGACAGATAACTGGCTGAGCTTTCTTTCACAGACACAAGTGGGACAGTTTGCCATTGCTAGAATACTGCTTATAGATAATATTTGTAGGTTTTTTGACCAAATTTCTATATTCTTTACGGCATTTGTGAGTTGGCATGTATATTTTTTTTTACCAAACAATCCCCGAGATCAATATTCAAAGACCAAAACACAACTATATACAGATACATTACAACAGTAAAATATATATCTCTAAGACACAGAACGGAGTGGTTAACTAGTTAGACTTTTTCCACATACACAGAGCAAATTCTACAGCTTCTCTGATTCTTTGTCTCTCCATTATCACCTTATAATAAAGTACTCAAGAAAGTCTATGCTCAAAGTAGAACGTATGATTTCAATAGTAGAAAGAGTGGAAATAGTATGATAAGAAGATAAAGTGTATATGAAACATATCATACATTACAATTAGGAAAAGTACATAAAATCATAGTTGATTAATTGTTAGAGTTAATTTTTAGAACACAAAGTTTATGGATCCCAGCAGCAGCTTGTAATGATGCTTCCTGCATGCCCTGCACTAAAACGTAAAGAACAACGCATGCATTCACATCAGATGGCCACATTCCCAAAAGCATCATTACCTGGATCACATATGTTCTTATGCTACTGTCTCTTCCTTTTATTTTTTCTGTTCTTTTTAAGAAATGAAGTTTAAAAAAAAAAAAATAAATAAAATCAACTGTTGAAGAAACAACTTTGCCTTTATCCCACTTCCCTGTTTTCCTACCAAGCCCATCCAAACAAACGCATCATTTTTGCAGGAAGAGGCAAGTGCAAAGAGTAAAACAAGGATGGAGCTTCAAGACTAATTTTCTGAGGGTTTTTATTTTACTGTTCAGACAGATTTCTAGCTGTAATGTTACCTGAAATGCTTTTTGATTTCAAAGCAAAGAAATAGTAGTATATCTGAACTAAACTCCTCCAAATATTAGTACAGGATCACGTGTGTTCTTTTGCCGCACAAAGTACATCATCCATGTATCTTATAGCAGCCAGCAGCAGTAAATCAACTAAGTTCCATAATAAGCTCTACTACCTTTTCCACATGTGCAGCTGACAAGATTTCCACACAGTAGGTTTTAAATGCTCTTAGTGTTCAATACACAACTTTGGCACACAATCCTGTAGAGTTCAAAATAAATTCCTACTGGAAAAATCACACTTTTCTCATTCTTATCTCAGTGCTGCATACACAAAGTGAATAGCAGAAGTTCACAGTCTTTCCTTAGCGCTCCTTCAGAGTGGCAGAGGGATGAGCCAGAGTGATACCACCCAAATGTCATAATTACAACAACAAAACCCACAACAAGAAAAGAAAAACAAGCCTTACCTTTGTATCGATTATACAGTTGTTCTAATTTCTTCCTGTCTACTGAATTCTTCATGGATTCTTTGTAGTACAAATCTGGATTCTGGAAGTAGTTGTCTGTTGCCACTTCTAGCTTCCATTCATTCTGCATCAAGCAGTATATAGCAGTCCTTTCCCCAGCCTGAGTAAACGCCATAAATTGGCGGACCTTGTCCTTCTGAGATGATTTAAGCTTATGCTTTGGGATGCAAAAGAAGCAGGAAAGTCAATAAAGCTAATCCAGAAGTTTGTTTCAGCATTCTACTACTAATGTCTATATGTAAAAGGTTTTATTTTTCTTGCTGAACCTTCACTTCAGAATTACAGGAAGACAAAAGCCTTGCTCTCCTGCAGTTAAAATGACAGCGTTTTCTTCTGCAAATATGAATGACAGCATCTATACATACATTTTTAACAGCAAAAATCCTGGCAGTAATCAATTTGTATTCCTGCTTTACTGCTCACATATGCAAGAGCGTTTTTCTGTTCTGTAACATGAGCAAACACAAATTTCATCATATAACAATATGGCTATCTTCTGAAAATACATCCATTGCTTATAAACACAAGGAACCATAGAGGCCCAATGTACAGAAGCTCAGGTTCTGTACAAGTCCTTTGTAAACTGAAGAAAACAGAAATCTGCCTAGTGGTTTTCCTGACATTTTCCTAGCACTAATGGAAAGTTTCATTCTTTTAAATGATCACTTGAGAAGACAGAAGTATTTCTCCCACTTTTACATAACTTCTGCCAACAGAAGACAGAAGGCCAAGTGAAAATAAAGCATGTGCTAGAGACGCGTTGAATGCTATAATGAAACTAAAAAGTTCTCAAAAACATGACCTAAAACTTCAATGCACTCTGAAAAAAGATATTTATGCTATTAATACATAAATCAACAAAGCAGCCCGCTATAGTGATACACAGGAGCCCATGAGGAGTTTCTCTTAGCTCATGGCAGCAGCCATATCTACACCACATCCCTACGTTTCTGGAGAACCCAAGAGGTAGGAGCAGGGATTTTATGGGGAGAAAGTCTGCTAGTACTACGGGTCAACGTGGAAGGAGGAAAGGGTAACTTAAATCCCTGTGTTCCAGCACTTCCTCATTCTGTTAAACTGCACACAGTCAGGTGCAACAAGGAAGTAACCTGAGAAAGCTGTCTGCAGTTGTTCTGTTGCTGAGGCAGATACAGCAGAATACTGCATGAGGGGATAAAATAGAAAGATCAATGTCCCAGCCCCACAGCTATCAGAGGAAGAGCACGGTACCAGAGGCTGGGGCAGCTCTCAGCACCCTTCTTATCTCTCCTACACACATGGACGGGACATCTCCACTGCAGGTTGACCCGACACAAGAAACGTGTCACGTGAACAAGGTACGAGCTTCAGTCCTTCTTAACACTTCTCAATTTTATATAAGCAGAAAGATGGAAAGCAGCTTTTCGGGAAAATAAAAAAATAAAAAAAAAAACCCAACAACCCTACTAGGGAAAATAACTACAACGTGTTTAGAGAAGAAAATCTCAACAGCCTTTTGCTCGGCTACTATCGGCTCCTTCAGCAAGCTTTCAGCTCTCGCTAATGGTTAAGACACCCCCGGACCGAACCCCTCCTCGTGCACACCAGGTGCCGCGAGGGCAGTGCCGACAGAGCCCCGCGACAAGGGGCCGAAGTGCACGCAGCGGGGTCACTCGAGGAGAACACGCGGCCGCCCGCTCGCTGCTCTCGCTGCCCTGGGAGTTCCCGACGGCGTGAGACGGAGGGCTCTCGCGTTCTCTACGAGGCCGGGGGGGCGTTTCTGGAGGTCGCGCCCCCGAAGAGCAGCCCCATCGAGGAACGCCAGTGGCGGAGGCCGTGGGGCAGCACCGCAGTTCCCGCAGCCCCTCGCCTCGGGGGCCCGAAGGCGGCCCGGCCCCGGGGACGCGGCGGAGGGACTCTGCGGCGTCGGGCGGCGCAGCCCAAAAAAGGGAAAGGTACGCGGCGCCGTGCTGCGGCCCCGAGCGCCCGCCCCGGGTGACCTTCCCGCCGCCCCCGCGCGCAGCGGCCGTTCCTGATTGCTGCTTGCCCCCCGCCGCCCCGTCCTCGGGTCGCCCGGGCATGGCGCAGCACCCGGCAGCCCGGAGGGGCACGGGGAAAGGAGCGGAGGAACGCCCGCAGGGCGCGAGGAGCCAGGAGGGGAGGGGAGCGGAGCGGAGCGCGCCCGCCGCTGTCCGCCGCCCGCTTCCCTCGCGCCTGCCACCTACCATTTTACCACCGGCGCTTTAACCAACTTCACCGCCCGGCGCCGCCGCCGCCACTGCCGCTACCACCAGCACCTCCCGCGCAGGCGCGCAGCGGCCCGGCCGGCGCCGCCTATCAGCGGCCGCGCTGCGGGGAGAGGAACGCGGAGCTCGGGGCTGCGCGCCCGCGGCCCTGCCGGCAGCGGTACGGCCGGAACGGGGACTACAACTCCAGTCGTGCACCGCGCCCGGAGCTCCCGGCACGGGGAGGGAACGGCTCCGTCCTGCGGCTCTCGACACGTCCGGACTACGCTTCCCGTGCGGCCTTGCGCTTAAAGGCGCCGCGCCGGCGTTCGGTCCACGGCGCAGGGCGAAGGGGCGGCCGCTGCGGGCCGGACGAGGCTGTTGGCGCTGTCTTCTCTCTCCATGCTGCGGTCGCGTCCCGGCCGCTGCCGGCCCCGCTCCGTCCCTCCCTGCCGCAGGTGAGTGTGGTGGGGGTGGACGGGCGGGCAGCGGCCTCTTTCCCTTCGTGGCCGCCTCCCCCGTACCGCGGGGCGCAGGGAGGGGGCTCGCGGCTCCTCCTCGCCGCTCCCTTCCCCCCCTGCGCGTCCCCGAGCCGCTCTCAGGTGGGTGCGAGAAAGGGCTGGGGCGGGCGGGAAACAGACCGCCTCGGGACGGCTGCGAAGGTTCGTTCTTCTGCGTGGATGTCACGATCCCAGGGCGGTGAGCACGGCCCTGAACGCTGCAGTTCGAGGAGCATCTTTCACGCTTTCAGACACACGGTTTGGGTGTGGGGAGGTGCTGTGTGGACTTGGCTTGTTTTTAAATATTGTGGGCTATTTGATTGTAACGTCAGTGGTCTTTCTCTTGTGGGTGCTGAGAGGTGGAAATGGATTCTTGAATTTTATCCTGCTTGGATAAACTGTGTAGTTTAAATATGGACTTTAAAGAACTTTCTGGGAGATAATCTTGTGAATGATGCTGTTATCACTGCAAGTGTTCTTGTAAGTCTATTTTTAAATCCTGAGGACCAATTAGTGTTGAAATAATGCCTCCAGACCATTCAGCCTCAAGGTCTGTGATCTAAACTGGCAGTGTGCAGAAGTCCAGGAAGCCCTGCTCATGTTTTTTTCATAGACTCCTAGAATCATTTGAGTTGGAAAGGACCCCTAAAGGCCATCTTGTCCAACTTCCTTGCCATGAACAGGGACACCTACAGCTGAATCAGAGTGCTCAGAGCTCCATCCAGACTGACCTTGAGTGTCTCCAGGGAGCATCCACCACCTCTCAGGGCAAACAGTGCCTCACCACCCTTATTATCAAAAACTTCTTCCTTATATCCAATCTAATCTCCCTTCTTTTAGTCTGAAGCCATTTCCCGTTGTCCTTTTTTCCTGTAGAAATGTTTCTTGCTCATGCATAATGTATAACTTAATCTCTTCCAGTTAAGATTTGTTTTGTTATGTTTCATGTAATTGAATGTGTTGGTGCTTCTAAGACTGCATAATCAACAATTGGATGTGATACAAATTTTTAAGATAAAAACTAGGAGAGGTTTACTGATGTGAAGGAAGAATGTGTTCTGGTGCTGGGTTGAAGTACAACAACCAATGGCATCACAGCATAGTATTTTTAATGACTTTTCTTTAAGAAGAAGCACAAATTAATACCATGTAAGATGAGTAAGCATTCTGTACAGTGTTTTTAAAACAAGATAATCTCTAGAAAATAGGCAAGGAGGGAACAAAATCTTATCAGTGACCTTGGGCTGTTTCTAATTTTGCTAACATTGACTGAAGGAGGCAATCTATGTTATATAAAAGATTGCAGTGTAAAATGAAGTTTTTGGTTTGCTTTGTAATTTGTTTATCCATCACCCCAACATGACCATGTTTGGTTGGTACTGTCTTGCAGCACGTTGTGTGTCCTGGAGATGCAGAAACCATGTAGCAGAAAGCTCTGAGCAGTTGTGGATTATCACTTCCTCCCATCAGCAGCAAAAACTGAAGAATGAAGGTGCCTGGATTTATTTCCCTATGGACGTTGACTTCACTGCTTTGTGGCCAGTTAGGAAATACTGCAGAGCACGAAGATGTAGTAAAGCACGCAATCAAGCTGCACCGTGGGAAAGGAGCTGTTATTACTCAGCGAAAGCAGTGGGTGATGGAGAGCTGCAGAAAACTATCTGGTCTCCTTCGCCAGAAGAATGTTGTGCTCAACAAATTAAAAAATGCTATAAGAGCGGTTGAGAAAGATGCTGGGCTGTCAGATGAAGAGAAACTTTTTCAGGTGCATACCTTTGAAATTTTCCAAAAGGAACTCAACGAAAGTGAAAACTCAGTCTTTCAGGCAATCCATGGCCTTCAGAGAGCTCTACAGGGCGATTACAAAGACGTTGTAAATATGAAAGAAAGCAGTAGGCAGAGACTGGAAGCCTTGAGAGAAGCTGCAATTAAGGTTAGTTACTCTCCACCCCCGCTGTGGCTATTACTAGAATAGTAATATTTTAATTTCATTATGATGCTTTTTCAGACTGTTCTATACAAATAAGTAGATCTCCATGAAACTGAAGATTTACATTTTAAAATAGTTTTTGAATGAAATTAGTTGTGTTTGTTTTCATTAGCGAAATTAGAATTCTGGAATAGATCTGAAAGCTTAGTAGTAGGCAATAGTTATTTCAAAACAAAGCTGAGCATAATTGCGAGACCCACATCAAACACTGTGTTGAAAGAAGACGAGGTGAGTCTGCACACAGCAGAGCTGTATAAATCACTTGGATTATCAGAATGGAAATAAGGCAACAAATTCACCAAATACTAAGTGTTTTTCCACTTGAAATGAGAATTGCTCATCCCAAACCCATCATTCTGGCAGAACAACTCCTTTATTTTCTGTACTCATATGGATGTTAGTAAAATGGAGGTGTGAAATATTGGTGTCTGTTTTTTTTTTTTTGTTGTTGTTGTTGTTGTTGTTGTTTTTGTCTTGGTGTAGTATTCCTAGCCTAGGAACTGCAGGTTTGGAAAATAACACCTCCAAGGAAGAGATGATTGAGGGAACTTTACTGAGAAAAGCAGGGGTGTGTAACCAGAGAGCTCAAGTACTTCATGGAAAGTTTGGGTTTTCAGGTCAATCCAGACCTGTTAGGGCTTGCACAGTCTGGCACCCAATCTGGTAGCGCTCAGAGCATGTACTGAAAGTCTGCCATTGAGAGGAAATGTTGCTTAGCTGACTTGGCATTGGAATTACTTGTTTCCTAGCCTCTGCCCCTCAACCACTGAAGAAAAATGCTAGGAATTTTCTTTGCATTTTTTTTTCTTTTTTAATTTAAAGAAAGGGCTGTTCTTGTGAAAGGGGGCAAAAGGAAAAAGCACAGTTAAGCTACAGGGGGCAGAGAGGAGAACCTAGGCAGGGCAGCTGTCTGAGATACATGCAGGCCAGGTGAGGAGTGGCAAAGCACTGTTGTGTACAAGGGAGTGCAGTGAACAGTGAGAGGAAAGGCTGTTGGGAGTAGAAGTTAGGATGCAGACTGAGGAAACTGGAGCAGTCTGTGCAAACAAAGACTGGATTATGATGAATTTGGTAATGAGGAGCTTGGATCCGTCTGTGTTCCAGTGACTCAGGATGACTTTGATATTGGCAGTTAATGGCAGTGCCAGCTTCTGCTGCATAGAAACAGCAGACATGGCTACATTCTTTTTCTTTTACTTTATTTTTCTTCTTAGAGTTCTTCACATAGCAGCAGTGAAGCCGTCTGTAACCTTTTGTCTCATTTACCTAATTCTTGGCAGCAATATGATTGTAAAACAAACAGAGGGAGATCTGTAGTAGAGCTTGAATGTTCTTCCTTCTTTTCTTTCATAAAAGGAGGCTTCTGTGTGTAGTGCTGTTTTAGAGGGGCGTCCTGTAAGAGCTTAACTTTTGCGGAAGTGGGTTGTGTAGTCTTTTTTGGTATGTCATGAGATTTATTCAATCAAGCAATCTTTTATACCACTCTTTATGTCACTTACATGATTGTTTAAGCAGTATTTGTTTCTCTAACAGTAGTTAGAATAGTTAGAGTAACAGCAGTATTTGTTTCTCTCTTTGTAATTTATGTTATAGTATGAAATAAAGGAAGGGACGATGGGTAAGCACATGCCAGATGAAAATGACATACATGGAATAAATTTTTGTGTTCAAAAGATGTTCACACATCAGGTCCAATTTTCTTCCACTATATTTTTGTTGTCATTGTATTTTGCTGAGCTACTCAGAAGATATTTTTCCAAAGAGTAGTTGAATGGAAAATACTAATGACTGTAGAGGATACAGGATCACTCATTCACTTTATTTCTGCCAAGTATTTGAAAATTGTTAGTATCAGAATATGTTTGTGATGCTTTTCATGCTGGTTCTGTTTCTGGGAAAGAGCATGACAGAGTCATTCACAGCAGGGAAATGTTGAATCATAGGATCATAGAATGGCCTGGGTTGAAAAGGACCACAATGATCATCTAGTTTCAACCCCCTGCTATGTGCAGGGTCACCAACCACCAGACCAGGCTGCCCAGAGCCACATCCAGCCTGGCCTTGAATGCCTCCAGGGATGGGGCATCCACAACCTCCTTGGGCAACCTGTTCCAGTGCGTCACCAGCCTCTGTGTGAAAAACTTCCTCCTAATATCTAACCTAAACCTCCCCTGTCTCAGTTTAAAGCCATTCCCCCTTGTCCTATCACTATCCACCCTTGTAAACAGCTGTTCCCCTCCTGCTTATATGCTCTGCCTGAATTTGCTCGAGGAATTGTGACGGAGTTCTGGAAGAAGCAGCAAAATCTTACCTACTTTCTATCTGCTTCAAATTTCTTGGGCGTCCAGTACTTATTCATCAATGGAAAAGATGAGCATTGCATAGATGCATCCTCCTCTGAGTTTGCTTTTTTCATCTGTTACTGAACAAACAGCAGAGAGCAGTAATGCTGCTTTCTTAACTAGCGTTGCCTTCCCTTTGGACATATTGCTGGGCATTCCCATCTCGTGCTTAGTACAGAATCCTTGCATGTATTACCTTGCTTGAAACGCTGTTTAGCATATACTTCATGATCAAATGTCTCCAATGCCAGTATGAAGTGTGGAACAGTGTTTGCACTGTGGTGCTCCTTTGCATAACATGTAGCAAGGTGTTTGAGAAAACGCTTCCTTCTCATCACTTACTGTTCCACTCAACAGCTACAGCAGTGGTCAGTGGGTACAACCAGATACTACTTCCATCAGCAACAAATACTTCTTTTTCATTAAAGGAACTTACAATTAAAACCGGATTGTTTCCACAGCTCTTCTATCTCTCTTTTCAGAGAGAGCAAACCTGCTTCTTTTTCAAGGGCAGAAACTCTAACCCTTGTTAACTCTACCTTGAATTCTAGGTTGTTGATTGAGGAGAAGAGTCCACTTCTCATACTGGCTGGGGGTTTTACATCTTTTAAATGATGTCTGCTAACAGAGAGCAATAGAGAGACCATATCTTTCCCTGAGGCTTACAAGAGTGACTGACTCTCACTTACCTGTCGCATGAATAAGCTGTTGCTATTGGTCCAAACACCTTAGTAGTTACATTTTTTCCTAGCTAGAGTTATTTTAGGAACTGGGGGCCTTTCATCATTCCAGTGTAACTATGCTAATTACAAACCCTGGTATACAAGAACCACAATTCCGTGGTTTCAACACAACCTGGAGCATTCATCTCACTGACAAGATTTTTTAAAAGGGCCAAACACAGTTATAGGCTGCTCTGAACGTAGTGTTGTCTTGGCATCAAGGAATTGTTTGAATTGTATGCATGTCCTTGCAGGTGTCAAGTGGAAAAAGGTCCATCTACAAAAGTGCCTGGAGAAGGGAATACTTCATTTATTCCGGCAGAGGTGTTTAGGGCCGTTGTAGATGCCAATGTGGGGAAGGCAGATAAAATCAAAGGGAGAGCTATTTCAATCTGATCTCTAGCTGGGTATGGCAGTATATAAAAAATAGAGATTGAAACTTTTGTGTTCAAGCAACTGAGTCTGACCTAGGAATTACTTGTGTTCCTTACCCTGTTCTCTCTGTTAAGACTGGTACGATAAAAACAGTGTTCAGACACTGATACAATGTCTGTATTGCTTCTGCAGTGCTACTGGTAAATGTTTTATGTTAAAAGAAGTGCATGTTTCTATCAAAGTTTTGCTGCATAAAAGCCTATCTAGCACTTTATCTGTGTTCTGAAATTCAACAGGAAGAAATGGAATACGTTGAACTCTTAGCAGCAGAAAAGCATCAGGTTGAAGCCCTGAAGAACATGCAGCATCAAAACAAAAGCCTGTCAATGCTTGATGAAATTCTTGAAGATGTCAGGAAGGCAGCTGATAGACTAGAGGAAGAAATTGAAGAACACGCCTTCGATGACAACAAATCTGTAAGTAAGGTTTTGGACTGTCTTTTCATTCATGTGTTCATTTATGTTGATATTTGCACAGTAGGTGTATTTGTCTTGTATTGGCTAGTTATTAGGATTTTAGTCACTGCTTTGAAAAAGCAAACAGAAAAAACAACAACACCTTTTGGCTCTACGTTTGTTTTCTCTTCCCTTTTAAGAAAAGAAAGCATTTACTAGTAGAATAATTGCTTGTTAAGAATGAGCAAACAGGAATCATTATTCTTTTTGTTGTAGATTTCTCTGCTTTGATTTGGAAGTACTCCCTGTAGCAACCACTTACAGTGACAAGTGTATTTCTTCTCACTGAGACAGCTCATGGGAGTTATGACCCATGACACTCTGGGATGGTGGTAGGGACTGTGATATTTAGACTTCACAGGATATGGAGTTACTGTGTTAAGTATAGTCTCCATTTTTATTTTTTTTCTTTGTTGAGAAAGTTATAGGTGAACAAGAATCCTTGCAGTTAGTTTTCACAACCTGCATAAACGTGTATTGTTCAAGGTAAGGACTTGTGACCTTCTCTGCTTTTAGCACCATTTCTGTTCTTGTTTTCTGTGTTGCACGACGGACAGTGTCCCTGAGGAAAGGCTGTGTGTAGTTTGATCTGGGAGTACATCAGTTTATTCCAGTGTCCCACTGTGTTTTTCTCAGAGACAGCCCCTCAGTTGGTCCTTTTCATACAACCATGGGTTGCAGTTTTATTTGGCTTCTTCATTTTGAAGATTTTGTTGATTTGCAGGTTGTCTTATAAGACAGATGTAGCTCATGAATTCTGCTGAGGAGGAAAAACTATTGCTCCAAAGGAGAGAGTCAGGAGGGCTTGGTGACTGTATGCTCTTGAAGGAAATTGAAAGTAGCTTTTTGTCTACACCAGACCCATGCAATCATACCTCCACGTAATCCTACCTAGCAGGACCGAAAGAGTGTAGAGAAGAGCTTGCTCGAGTGCCCTCTTCTGTTACACTGGGATATAACAGCCGATTTTAGTGATCTGAGTACTATTTCATCTGCAATAGCTGGTCACTGAAGGGAAAAAAACCAACGTATTCTTCTTGTCCAGTGTCTCTTCTATTTTTTGTCTTATATCTCTAGTCATGAAATAAAGAAAAGAAATAACGAAATTCAAACTGGAGGACTATTTACATCTCTGTCTTTGTAAGGACTGTTGAGCATGTTTTCTCTCAAGCTAAAAGACAAGTGAAAAAAGCTCTAACCTATGTCATAGAATACAACAATATTTGTGCACTGTTGCATGGAACACCCTTTCAGCAATAGTTGTTTTAAGAAGTAAAATCCTGAAAATAAATGCTGTCATCGTTTTGTTAGTAGTTTTTCGAAGCATTCTGCCATCTACTCTTGTTCTCATAGTGGAATCTATTATTCATAAAAACAAAAATCTGGCATGATATCATCACAATATATGATTTATAAATATATCACACAGGGGAAAAAAAGGTTGTTTTTCATAATTGTCTTAATCTTGCAACATTTTCCCTGTATTTCTAATATTGTTTCTGAACTAGGCTGAACTTCTCTAGAGGATGAATACATTTATCCAGTAATGTCACTTTTATTTGGTCTTTGATACTATTTAAATTTTGATACAGAGAAGTTTGGTTAGATTCTATTTACACAGCTACCAAATACAAAAGAACACTTAACAAACTCTGTATGAATTTAGAATTCCAGATCTTCAAAGCAGATGCTTTGAAGCTGATGTATTTAATAATGTAATTTTGTTTAGTGAATGTTATCATTGACCTCATAACTTCAAATTCTCAAGATGGTACTAGAACAGATGTTGCCTTGTTAATGTTTCAGTTTTCTGGTGAAATCAGTCATCTGCAAGATGGGGAAACTGCACTAAGCAGTTAAATAATTCTTAGGTGAAAATCAGTATATTTTAAATTGTGAAGTCAGCATTTAACACTATGTTCTAAGCTCTGTTTTTGTTTTCCTTGTAGTGGCAATAAGGTTGTGGAGGAAGAGGTTGGGAGTGTAGATAACAGAAAAGCAACAGGATTGGGAATCTATTGTGTATTCTGATTAGAAACAGTTCTTCGTGAACGCTGGCTGTAGGGAAGCCTTTCTTCTTTGTTCTGATACTGTGAGAGCAGTTTGCATGTATGTGACACGCAGCTGCTCCTGCTTTCTCTCATCAGCTGAAAACATGAAAACCTGCTTTGGTCTCTTAGACTTGGCAATGGACACTCGGTTCTGCAATGGAAAATAGTGTGGTAAGTGGGGAGCTTAGGGAGGTGAAAGTGGAATAGACATAAAAAGGCAGGTTGTAGGCAAAAATGGGAAAATACAACTTCCGTAATTTCTAAAATGGTCACCAACCTCTCATTCTAGCACTGAAAAATGCTAATGTTTGGTTAGACAAATTATACTTTTAAGTAATTCTGCAAACTTCAGAATTTGTTTCAATTTCCTGCATTGGAATTCTACAGCTTTGAAACCCCATCTTTATAATGTTGTGGGGTTTTTTTTGATGGAACAGCTTGGCTAAAGAGGCATAGAAAATTGGCCTGGAAAAACTCTCATTGATTGAAATGAAAAGCAAACATAGCATTTTCAGTTATAATCATCAAGTTTTGATAAAAAGGTTGAAAAGATTTATATAAAAAGAAGCTGCAGTGTTTTTTAGTCAACATGAACACCTTCTGGAGCAACTCCAAGCACAGCTAATAGCCTTCCATGTTAGCATACGTTTCATAGATGCATGTCTTTGTTTTTGTTTTTCTTTTTTTTCCTTCTCTTTCTTACAGGTAAGAGGTGTTAACTTTGAAGCTGTTTTAAGAGTGGAAGAAGATGAAACCAACTCCAAAAGAAATGCTTCAAAAAGAGAAGTAGAGGATGACTTAGGTCTTAGTATGCTCATTGATTCCCAGAACAATCAGTATATCCTTACCAAGCCCAGGGATTCAACCATTCCTCGTGCTGATCATCACTTCATAAAGGTGATAACTGTAGAGATGCTATTGTCTTTTTTTTTATAAGACTTACTCCCATCAGTTTGTATGCTGGTAGTGTTTTATTGGGTTGAATACAATTTCACATTTTTTTTCCCCTACAAAGCTACCCTGGCATTCATTATTTTCCCCACTTCTCCTTGCAATCTGGCCAGTGTGTTCCTAATTTTAGCACAGTATTCATAAGACTGATGATGAACCACATGGATGCTCTCTGTTCATATTTAGCTTAACTTGCTCCTTTGGGGCAGCACAGTGTTAAAGCAAGCTACTAGTTTACCTGACAAGCCACTTGCATATTGTCACAACAGAGAATTTACATCTTCATGTACCGCAGTAAAGGAATGGAAGCTGCAAAATGCATCAGTCTGTTATTGTATTTGTTCTCCATGACAAATAAGTGGATGTAGATTGTTTTTAAAAAACAAAATTGGTCTATTCCATTGTTTTGTTTTAATGCAAACTGTCAGTCTCTCTAGCAGACCTAATTAACTGTATACCTCCTATAATGTATTTAAGACATTTTATAAGTTGATCAGAATTCCCCTTATTACTAAAGGGTTAGTAGTTTGAATGCTTCATCTGCAAACAGAAGTGCTTACACCTACAGTTGTGTTCAGGTAAGTTTACTGAAGTTTTGCTTTGTTTTCTCAGGCAGTATTCTACATGTAATTTTACAGTGCCACTCACCTTTTGAAGGGTAATAGTCTTTAATTTCACCACTAATTTGGGTATCCTTTATACTAACATACTTGTACATTTTACATACTAGGATATTGTGACAATAGGAATGTTGTCTTTGCCATGTGGCTGGCTATGCACAATGATAGGATTGCCAACTATGTTTGGGTACATCATCTGTGGCGTACTGTTAGGACCATCTGGATTAAATAGCATTAAGGTAGGCATGCATGTTGTTTCTTGACTGATTGCATTTACTGAAATCTTTAGCAGTCATTTTAAAAAATGGTATGGCCAGCTTCAAATGCATGTGTTTTGAGTAGTGGTCTGCTGTGCATTAACAAATGTTTGACCAACTGGCACAATGGAATAGATGCTAAATGTGTGTATTACATTAATATTCACATAATTGCTTAGAAATTCCTGTCTTTTCAACCTCTGCTGTTACATGGGCTCTTACTGAAATTGACTGTTGGGCAAGTAAAATGAGTAAAAAAAAAATTTTTTTTTTTTTTTTTTTTTTTTTTTTTTTTCCCCTCAATCTCACATTAGGAAAAAAAAGACTAAAGAAATACAGTTTCAAAATTTCATGTTCTAAAATTGAAAATAAATAATAACTTTTATGTAGTACGTGTCTTTTGGAATGAGAAGGTTGGCCACTCAGTTTAGAAACAGGATTGTATTGTTGACATTAGAAAGATTCAGCAATGGATTTTCAGAGACTGTGAGGAAGTGGGAACTACACTGCTGAGGGGATTTGTGTTGCTATATTACTAGCAAGTGAATTACCTATGAGAAAATATTTGTTTTGTAAGTATACTTACAATTTGCTTTATAATTAGGTTGCTGTGCACTGATATTTATTTTATATTTTTGAAAGTCTATTGTGCAGGTGGAGACATTAGGAGAATTTGGTGTATTCTTCACTCTCTTTCTAGTTGGTCTGGAATTTTCTCCTGAAAGACTAAGAAAGGTATTTCTTTGTTGTACTTCTATATTACAAGATGTAACTGCTAACGTTTAAGTCACCAGTTCTATTTCAGATTTGCACATGCTTTCTATCATATATGACTCTGCTATTGTACAGTTTTGAAAAGACAAATATGGCATCTTTTCTTTAATTTTCTGGGAAAAATAGAATGCATTATTTATTCAGCGTCTCCAACAAAACTTGCTGTTCCTTTTCATTTTAGTAAAATAGGTTGATTGCTCAAAAAATCTCAGACAATTTATGGCAATCCATCTCTGCTTTATTTTGACGTGCAGAAACATGCAGTTGCTGTTTTGAAGTGTCTGGTGATTTTTGCCAGTCCTGTAATTAAAAAAATCTGTTTGTTAAGTACTACATACTGAATTGATGATACGTGCTGTACTGGCTAGTAAGCTGATTCTGCAAGTACATTAGCACAATCATGAGTATTACTTGCAGTGGCCACTGGGATTCAGCAAAAAGGTACAGGTTGTTTTTGATCTTAATTAAAAAAAACAAACTCATAAAACGAGCTAGAATGTTAATATTGGAAAATACTACCACAGAAGATGTGAAGACTGCATGTACTTAAAGAGTTGTGTTTTGTGATCTGTTCCCAAATTGATGGTTGTGAGTTCGTGAGACTATTAAAAGCTTTCTTTGAAATGTGTTGAAGTCTGAGTATTCAGATTACTCTCCTATTTTTAGTCCATCTGAAGTCAAAAATGAAAGTCAGCAATTCAGAGGTTCTTCAATAGATACTATGCAAACCGTTACTAGATTGCAAGCAACTTCAAAATCGTGTATGGACTAGTATAAATTGGGCTGCTAGTATTTATGGTGGTTTACACCACTCCCTATGTTGGGTTTTTTTTCCCTATAATCACAGTAAATAACAGGTCTTCCATTTGATTTTGATGTAATTTAGCCCATAGTGGATCTTTGACCCTTAATTTATTGGTTTACGAGCTCTGGGAAGTATACTTAATGAGCCTTCATGAGTTAACGAGCCTCTTGACATAGAATATTATCTCCTAGGTGTAATATCTTTAGAGCTTTAGGATGCGTATGATGAGAGCTGGTTATGTCTGTAGCCCAGCACTGCAGTGCCTGATAGTGCAACTTCAACTGCTTATTTGCACTGAAAATCTCTGTAACGTGTCAAACTTCTTAATAAGAACTTGTTTTCTTCCTGAGGTGTGGAAAATATCTTTGCAAGGACCCTGCTACATGACGGTTCTGATGATTGCCTTTGGTTTATTGTGGGGACACTTGCTCCAAATCAGACCGACACAAAGTGTCTTCATTTCCACTTGTTTGTCTTTATCAAGCACACCATTGGTGTCAAGATTTCTTGCAGGTACTGTTCGAGGAGATAAAGAAGGTAAGTGTGATTTAAATACGGACTGCTTGAGTACGTATAAAAAAATTTGACAAAAATGGACTTTGTGATATTATAAGAGAAAGTAGTTTAAAAATGAAACAAAACCTTGTCTGGTTTGCACAGGATCATCCTCCTTTAACTGGTCAGTGTTATATGTGTTCTTGCTATGAGGTGCACCTGTTACTTCTGTAGCCAGTCCTTTCTGGATAAGGAACGGTGTTAAAATCAGTGCAAAATTGGCTTTACTGGGGCTCTGGATGCATGGTGCTTTTTAAGAGGCTACCAGATAAGACCGTTGCTACCAGACTGTCAATGGGCAGAAAGGCTAACTGAAGTAATTCACATCCTTTTCCTGCAGGCTAAGACCACCTCTGCTAGTCTTTCAAAGACAGCAGCTCTTCAAATAAGTACTTTCAAGTGCTGTATTGATGGCTTCTCAAAAGGCTTCTAAATGTTTCATTTCAGCAGTTTTGCCAGCCTGTTTTCTTCCCCTTAAACCTCTCTTATCCATAGGTGCTGTAAGGTGTTTTTGTTTTCCTTCTCCCCAGAATACTCCTATTCCACTGCCAAAAGTTTATTTTCTGTATGCTGACTCTTGTTAAATTAGATCTGCCTGTTACTCTGCAGACTGTAAGCTTCTGTAAAGAAGTTCCAGTAAATGCATAACTGGAGCTTAACTGCAAAACAAAGTCAAGGTTTGTATTATACTTTGACCTCACTTCGTTGAGAACTATACATAGCCTTCATTTGATTAAGATGCTGTTTTTTCTGCAAGCATTAATAGACTCTGATAAATGTTTCCGTGACTGCTTTGTTTGGTGTGCAGGGGATATTGACTACAGCAGTGTACTACTTGGCATGTTGGTGATGCAGGATGTGCAGCTCGGCTTATTTATAGCTGTTATGCCTACACTTATTCAAGCAGGGGTGAGCACACATTCCAGGTAAAAAAAATATATATATATATCTTCCTTCCCCCCTGGCCTTTACAGTTTAGTATATAGGTTGCAAATACAAATATGACAGCGTTACCTTTAATGTCAGTCCACTAAAAAATAGGATTTTGTTTTCTGCGTTCCCTTCACTGTTTGTACTTGCCATGTTGCCATGTTGTATGAGGATATTCTTTCTGCTATGGCTACCTTAGTCCAGTCTAACTTGTAACCTGAAATTTGTGGTGAAAAGTTTGTTACTTTGTTGCTAATTTCTTAGTTTATTACTGATTTCTTTAGACCTTACTCTCTAAAGGCATTTTTGATAAAGGCTGTGGGATAGAATTACTGATTATTGTTTACTATGAAGAGCTGTCAGCAGAAGTCTTTTTGAATTAATGGAAGTAAACTTCTGTAGAAGAGATTGACACACTTAGCAGATGTAGTATTTGTGTTGTCTTGCTAACGTTTGAAATATCTTACTGTAGGTACCGAATTTCAGACATCTGTGGAATGAGATCTTTTCAGTCAAGGAAAACTGGTTTAGAGGCAAGAGAGCAGTTGAAAGAAATGTTCTGTTTGTTCTTCTCTTCCAGCATTTTCAAGGAAATACTGAGAATACTGATACTGATTGGCCAAATTCTCTTTTCTCTGGCTGCTGTTTTTCTTATATGTCTTGTTATAAAGACTTATCTCATAGGACCGTATTATCGCAAGTTGCATGCAGAAAGCAAAGGGAATAAGGAAATCCTCATTCTAGGAATATCTGCATTCATCTTCCTAATGTTAACGGTAATCTTTTAAATTAATAAAACATTTTGATACGTGTGGTAGAGTTTACTACGTCAGTGCCATAAAAGCCATCGCACTTGCTGTTATTGCATATCCACGTAACACTGCAGTTTAATTTTTTGCTTTAAAATGTTTTAAAACAGAAAAGCACAGATGATTCATTTGTCACAGCACAGGTAAGTATTAACTGATACAACTTGAATGTCGATAGATTGAACTTCTGGTAATTTCTCTCATAGATACTATAAGGAACGTGATTACAATTTTAATTTTGAGGTATTTCATGCATTTGAAAATAATTTAGGATGGGTTTTGGGATACTGATAATGGCACATGGTGACACTTAATAGCTCACTTACAATGGCAAATTCTTGATATAGATTTTATTATAAAATAGCTTTTTTTTTTTTTTTTTTTTTTTTTTTTTTTTTTTTCCTGTGGGAAATAGTTGGAGATGAAGTTGAGAAAGCATGGAAATGCCCAAAGGTTCAGATATTTTGCCAAATCTACAGTGTACAGGATTCTTATGCATGAAGTGAGAAGATAGAATAGAACTTCAGAAGTCATAATTCTCCAGGATATAGATCACGTTAATTGATTTTGAGATCTCTTATGGGTTTGGTTTATTTGGATCTTTCATCCCCTGGCTTCTATTTCATGTTTCACCCCCCAACAGACTCTTCTGTTGGCGAACAGACTGTGACAGCCAACGATATTAACTGTGGGTTTGAAATTCCTTTGTCCTGCTTGTGCAGATTTTTATGTCTGCCTTGAGAATTTCAGAGAAAAATTATCAAAGATGCTGCAGTGTTTGGGAGCCTTTTTTGCTATCTGTGTTTGCTCAGTTATTACAGGGCCAATGGAGAAAGAAGTTAGTGAGAGCACACCTTCACAATTTATTGATTTTTGTTATGTGTGTTAAAAGCAGCATCCCCCTAAACAGCTATTCATATTCCAAACACAAGTGCTGTTTAATAAAAAACAAAACTATTCCCTCCTTTTTTCTTTCTATCAGGCAGACATAACATTTGTAGAACAGCTTTAATAAAAACAAAACCCAATGTAAGTCACATATTAAGTACTGCGGTACCTGGAAGAACTTCAACTGCTTTGATGAAAAAAATGGTCTGCATAGATTGATCTGATTGAATTGGGTATATTATGCCCAAACTGACATCAAATGCAGAGGGAGTTGGTGTATGTGACTTGATGTAAGCTGTGTATACAAACCTGAGGGGGAATAGGTTGGAGCATATTGGATGTGTATCACAAAAATGGAGTGCTTCTTCAGCATGAGAAGTGTTTGAAAAGAAACAAATATTTTGTGTGCTTTCAAGCAAAAGCAGCTTTCCCTTAAAGCATGATAAATAATGTATTAAAAGGATCAGTACAAAAGATGCTGAATGTAACCTTGGTAAATCAGTTCAGATGCTTTATGTTCTCTGGTACAGATACACTTAGTACAGTTTGCAGTACAAGCTGTGGTTTAAGCTCAAAGAGCTGAAGGGAAAAAAATGGAAAGAAGAAGAAAACCTCCACCAACAATGCGGTTGTCCTATTGAAAAATTAATCAAGAAGATCTTCTGGAAAACAAATCTAAATCTAAATTGTTGTAGATGCCCTATTATTTCAGGAAAAAAAGCATGGGGGCAATCTAATTTGAAAATCTTGCATGAATTTGGAAAGAATCAACTTTTTGAATGTGAGTGTATTTTGAGTGCCAGGTAAGAAAAAATTGAACTCACATAGTGCTTACAAAGATCTTTCTCCTTTGAAAAACAAATCTAAACATCCACAGAATTTGTTTAATTATCTGGACACATGGAATTTTGCCTATTTGTGTAGTTATAAAAAAGCTTTTGAAGGACAGAGTAAGAGAATGTATGTTTTAGCAGCTTTAACCAAAGAAAACTCTGTGGTTCCATTTAGGAAAAGTTGAGAGATGTTTTCAAGCAAAATGTTTTAGCTCTCTTTCTAACATATGAGATATTCTGCAGGCCATGTCTTTCCCAATGCATGACTGAGGTAGGAATTGCATGATGTTTGTACTTCATGCATGCAAATACTTATGTGCTTCCACATTGAAGGCCATGTCTGGGGTTCACCTAAGTTATCTCATGTTGCGATTCATGTGTAATGCACATTTTATGTATATGTAAAAATTTCATTTATTTTACTTATGTCCCATGCTTCAAATTCTCCAGTGACAAATTAAACAAGAATAGTGGTTTCTCTATTATTAAGGGCAACTTCTGTGCGACTGTATGGGAAAAAAAGGAGGATAGGACAGAGAAGGTTATTACACTGAAATTGCTTACTAACACTGCAGTGCAAGTGTTATCCTGTTGATTGAGGATCTTTCTGCATGGAAATTATTTTTGAACATTCCTTTGTCTAGAGCATTTCTGATCTGCTTGGTTCACTTGGATAACATTGCAACTCAAAATTTGAAACTGGACCTTCAATATGTCTTTTCTTTGTAAGCCAACTTAGAATAGGAGATGCAACACATCTCAAATATGAGCTGTTTTACCAAATTTTGGAGATATCTCAGATATGTAAGTGAAGTTTTCCCCTTTTTTTTCCTCACATTGGAGGGCTCTGAGAATGTCAGGTACCAATCCTATGCAAGTCTTGCTGAATTTTGCTACATGGTTATCCGTCTTTAAATCGCATAGCTTATCATCAGTAACAAAAGTTCAGTAGAAAATTATTAAACTTTCAGCTTCTTTTCCAGCTTTGATTTATGCTGGTACTGTGTACTATTTTGAAAGTGAAGCCTGATTCTGGTTTTAAAGCCACAGAGGATAGATGGCAAAAATGGTGCTTATATGTCAGGACATGAACTGTACTACAGTGACCTGAAGAACATGCTGTGTGTCAGCCAGGGTGTCGATCAGTTGTGGGTAAAAAGGGGCTTCTGGTCTAACTGCATCATGGTGGATCTATGGTGACGACAGAAGGAGAGGGGAATTGCCAGCTGTCTTTATATCTCAAAAAGTTGAAAATATAGCTGTGTTATTGCAGTACTTCATGTAAGAAATCGTGCATACTTTTTCCTGCATTCTATTAGGAATGTAATTCCTTGTTTGCTGGAGTACTTCCCAATGGTTCATAACCTGCTTTTGAACTCCTTCTTGTCAAGTAAGGAGAGAAGATTAAGAAAGAACTGTAATCTTATATTCAAATTAATTATTTCATAAAATCATCCGAGATGGAGTTTTAAAAGGCTCACAAAAAAATTATTTCAGTTCTCATTAAGGCTTTGCTTCTTTAAAGTGCAAACTTAGTATTCATCTCTCCATCTTCGACACATTTAAGTTATGAATGTCCCAAATATTAATACATTTCCCTGAGGGGTTTCTGTAGTTTTACTAACTTACCTTATTCATCAGGCTTCTATGATGATTAAGGAGTAAGATAGGCAATATTAGTAGGCAAAACAACTGCTGAACAAATGGCTGAAATTCAACTGGAACATGGCATAGAGTAATGTTTATTTCTTTATTGCTGTGGTAGAATATATTTGAACATAAAAATCCTATATTCCCATGAGAGCAAAGCAATCCTCTCTGAGTTAGGAGTAAAATGGGACCTTTGAAAACAAATGAAAGCTAAATTATACAGAGGTAGAAGGATGCAAATTAACAGAAGTTTTTCATTTAATTTTGAGTGGAGAAGCTTCCTGTAATATAGGAGTTGGGAAGAGAATAGAACACGTCTTGGGGAATAGTAATCATTAGAGTAATGTTCAATAAAGCAAAACTTTAAAAATGGTGCAGACAGAGAGGGATTACTAAATGCAAAATATTTCTCAAGTTTTGCCTATATAAGAAATTTTATCTAAACTGCCATTGCACCAGTAAAACACTCTTCATTGTATGTCTGTATGCATTATTTAAAATAAACCCCGACCCTACAGATTTAGTTGAGGAAACGTATGTACTTACTGATAATGCTACTGGACAGCCACTTACTAGGGTGGGAATAGAAAAAGTAGTCCTGGTATAAATCTAGCTCTAAATCTGAAGAACAGACTGAAAGAAGTCAGGTGTGGCCACATCCAGCCTGGCCTTGAATGCCTCCAGGGATGGGGCGTCCACAGCCTCCTTGGGCAACCTGTTCCAGTGCTTCAACACCTTCTGTGTGAAAAACTTCCTCTTAAAATCTAACCTAAACCTCCCCTGTCTCCGTTTAAAACCATTCTCCCTTGTTGTATCACTATCCACCCTTGTAAACAGCCATTGCCCCTCCTGTTCATATGCTCCCTTCAAGCATTGGAAGGCTACAATGAAGTCTCCCCAGAGCCTTCTCTTCTCCAAGTTGCTTCTCAATTAAAATGTGCCTTGCTTGAATAGTGATTCAATAGTGATTCTTAGAACAGGATAGCATTGTGCAATTCCAGTACAAGGGGTGGTAAATCCCTTCTTAAATGGTAATCTATCCACATGCAAGCAAATACTTAAAATACTAGCTAAAAAGGTTTCAACCAGAATGTGTATGAGTTTATAGCAGAGAAGTAGAAATAATTCCCAGTTTACCTGAAGAAGCTGTACTGGATCTATCATATTCACTAAGTTATGACTTTCAAAAATGTTTCATATCTATATATATGTATTTCTTATTTTAATTAATTTAATGCATTTCTTTCTTCCCCCTTACAATTTCAAGTTGTTGTGAAAAGCGCTGCGCATCTCTGAAGCTGTACTGAAAAATTCCTTTTGTTTTAAGACACAAATGTATCAAAAGTGGCATATTTCACATAGTAGCTGGAATGGATTATTTTATTGCTTTTGAACAGTCAGCAACCATTTGCAATGACAGAAGCAATTTGTTTTCTTAAATACCTTGCAATAAGTTAAAGACTAGTATGCAAGTGGCTTTATGTGATGAGATGCTGAAATACGCAGAAGACTGGATTTTATTTTCAGTGGCATTTTATGCATTGCTTGTTTATCATTGCCTTTTGTTCTCCTCTGTTAATTTTGAGTCATTTGAGTGTTAACTTTGTGCCTCTGTGTAACACCGTTTGACATATGATCAATGTTGTCCATAAATGTACCATGGTGTGTCGTTGCTTAAGCTAAATTATTATGGAAATAAGTCTTCAGTTTAAATATTCTATTAATATTAATAGAATTGTCCTTTCTAAGTGAGGTGACTGTCCTCAGCAGCATGGCTTTAAAGTAATTTATTCCTGTGAAAAGTGCTGCTTGCTTTTTTAGTGTTATAGGCGTTGCCTTAAGCAGTTTCTTTGGTTTTTGGTTCAGTCATTTGCATGTTTAATCTCTCCCTTGAAGTGCCATATTCAAATAACAAAAAGAAAAGAAAAAACAACAATGAAGAGGAGTCTGAGTTCTTTCAAATAGGTTTTTCATTCCAGCAGCTAACTCCACATGCTTAAATTCTTTGCTATTCAGTAAAAAACACAAGCACATCCAGGTCCAATTTACAGTAGTAAAATGTCTATTGTGTCTGCTATATTGAGACTGTTCTCCCAAACTATAAGATTTTACTTTTTTTTCCTCTTTGTTTGACAGTTGGAAATTATGCAGTTCTTATGGCTTATTTTTACAGCCTCAGTGTATTGTGCAGTGCTGACTCTAAGCTGTTAGTCTCTCTGTAGTCTTTGAAATCAGATGCCATCCACAAGAGTGACATAAAGCATTGTGATCCAGATTTTAAAAAAATTTTTTGTTTTTGTGGGAAAGGAGGCAACACCATGGAGGGAAACTGCTTTTGTGAGAGTTTTGGCTAAATACAGTGCTGCAGAAAACAGAAATAAATCAGCAAATTCTATTTGTTGTTGAATTTGCACAGGCATTCACTACATCCAGCACAATGTATAGTTTTGTAATTTTGCAGTGAAATGGTATGTATGGTCACTCTGGATGTGAGAACAGTAACAGATTTTTCTGTTGTTCCTTGACAGATCACAGAGCTGCTGGATGTTTCAATGGAGCTGGGATGCTTCTTAGCTGGAGCTCTGATCTCTTCTCAGGGTCACATGGTTACTGAGGAGATTATGACCTGTATTGAACCAATACGTGACTTTCTTGCCATCATTTTCTTTGCATCCATAGGTAATTTCTAACAAAGCTTACTAAAAATAGTGCTGCCCTACAAATGCAGGGGAAGAAAAAGAGAATTGATGTCTACAAACTCGGGGGAGGGGTGGATTTTATTTCTGTGCACACTGAAACATTAAAAGATGACACGATTGGTTTGATTTTGCTTATATTATAGATGCAGTATCAGTTTTCATAAGGAATTCCCATGTTGTACTGTTAGTTTTTGTCTTAATGTAACTTTCTCACTGTTAATTCTGAATTTGTTTGAACTATTTAAAAACCTTACTAAAATTTTAAGGGAAAAATAAGTTAATTTTTTTTGTTGTTGTTTATTTGTTTGTTTTTGAAACTATTCTTCTGTCTTGATATTGGATATAGTTGTAATTTATACCAAAACTTTATTACCATTTTGAGTCAGCGAGAGTAGGTTTCAGGTCCTTATAGCTTGCTTTTCTCTGTAAGTAGAATATGGCAATGGAAACAGATCCTTTTTCCAGCATTTTGTTTCTTTAGTTAGGAAAATGTAATCTGCATATTCTCAGCACAGGAAGATTGGGTAAGACTATCTGCTGACTGAAATGCAATCGTGATGCCTAAGACCAGAGAAGTAATTCATCATGCTTGTTATCCAGAACATGTTAATTCTGAGAATATTTATATAATCAACTGATATCTTCATTTTAAACTGCTAGATTCTCTGTGCATTAGCATGCCTTGTTTGACAGAAACTGAAACACATTTCTAAAGTGCTTCAGTATACTGAATGAGGAGACATGCTGAGTGAAAGTGCTTGCTTCTCCCTCTGGGATCATATAGGAGATATGTATCCTATCTGGGGAGCTTTGCAATGTCTAGAATAAGGGCTGTCTCAAATCCAGTCTCCTTTAAACTAGAGTCACTCATAAATTTTTGTATTTTTTTCTTCTTTTTGGTCTTTCTGTCTTTTTATTTCCATGTCTACTCAAATGGCAGTGAAGCCCAGTATTCATCAGAATTTGCATGCCTTACCTCATACATGTACCTGTTGTATGCCTGCGGTACCATAACAGAAACCAAAAGTGTTTCTTGGCAGTTTTCAAGATAAAAATAAAGGGAAGAAGTTGTGCTCACCAGCCTCAATCCGTTTTGCCCAGCCCATGATAATTTGTGCTGATCAGTCAGATAAGAGCATTATTTGAAGAACTCATTCACCATTTCATTTAAAAAAATTATGGCAAATCTTTTAGGACTGTACAGTAGACAGTCCCTACAATGTAACCTACAATTGGTTAGATGAATAACTGCTAAATGTTCACAGATAAGTCATTTATGTCTGTTAGTAAAGAAAGTGATGAGGCTAAATGTGTGACCAGAGTTAAAAGCATGGAATGTAATCATAAGCCAGAAGTCAATTTTGCAAGAGTTTGAACAAAAACGCTGTCCTTTGTAAATTACGAGTACCAATAAGACTGATACATGGGACAAGAAGATAGCAGCACTGATTTGAGAGAAGACTGAAATTGTTTTTGAAATTATGGTACAGAATTCAACAAGTATCTTTGACTGCTGTTAACAGAATTGTAAGAAGGGAGAGAAAATTGCCTGACAAGCTCGTGTGGTTTTACAGAAAATGGGTGCTAACGCCACCTCACAAGCAGGTTAGCTAAAAATCAGAAAGATGATCTATGTATGTGCATCTGACAAAACGTGCTGCTTGCTTGTGCAAAAACAAACAAAAACCTTCTCCATAAAACAAAGCATCTCCCTCCAAATGTTTTGTCTCCTCCCATTCTTATTTTCAGTTGCTTTCGAAGTGTGTGGTTAACAGTGCGTGGAAGCTCTGTCAGTGGCAAGGAAGTAGTTTTTAAAAAGGAGCGATGTTGCAAAGAAAGCTGAGTTGTATGAAGTGGCGTTTTTTAAGGACTATAGGGAAATACTCTACTTTGTCACCTACAAACTTACTGAGGGTGCACTCAGTCCCCTCATCAGGTCATTGATAAAGATGTTGAATAGAAGCAGCCCCAGTACAGAGCCCTGGGGAACGCCACTTGTGACCGGCCGCCAACCGGATTTAACTCCATTGGCCACAACTCTTTGGGCCTGGCCATCCAGCAGTGTTTCACCAAGCAAGGTGTTTGCCCATTCAAACTGTGGGTAGCCAGCTTCTCCATGAGGATGCTGTGGGGGACAGTGTCAAAGGCCTTAAAAGGCTTTTAAAGTCTTGATAGATACAGCATCCAAATGCATCACTGAAGTTATTTTTCTGATTGATTGTCCTATCTTGAGGATGTGTCCGAGTTAATCCTATGTCAGAATCTGAGTCAGAATGAACCTGGCTGAGGTTCAACTACCAGAGTTCTGTTTTCTGTTATCTTGTCTGCTGTCAAGAATCTCTAAGATTCCCCTTGTTGATGCTGGGTTTTCCAGCAGATGACTACATTTTGACCTTCATGTGCTGTAATGCAACAGGCAGGTAGAATCCGTTTAAAGTTTTGTTTTGTTTTGTTTTTTTTTCCTGAAGAAAAAAAGTTACTTGAAAAAAGGTGAAAAGTCTTCCTTGCAGTCATCCTTACATGAAAATATACCAACTTATATGAATGAACTGTGCCATTTGGCTTGACTTCCAGTGCAAGGCCACCATCTACACAACACTGCTTAGAGCTGAAGGCCCATGGACTGTGTTCAGCTATGAAAACCTACCTAATTGGTACACGAGCTATGAGTGACAGGCCAACACTACCAGATGATGGTGCTAAAGTTTTTGAGTTCTTGATTGAAGTGCTTATTCCATCTTAGAGAACAAGTCCTTATTGAATCCTGAGCCTAGTCACAAAGTCTAAGTAAACCTGCTGAAATTAGTGCATCTCTTGTCTGTGAAGTTAATCTCTGATGGCCTTCATATTGTCAGGAAGCCTTGATGTACCTGTATAGCAGCCTGATTTTACTTACGGCCTTATCCTAAGTTTTTGCATAGGACAAAGATCTGTAGTAATAATGGAATTACTGTGGTGGGCTTTATTTTTCCCAAAATGTGCGTGCATGCAGGGCTGTATGCTTGTTTTCTCAGAATTGTGTACGTAACAGGCTTAGGCTTGCTTTAGCTTAGAGACATTATCACCTATAGGTGCTTACCTCCACAGGATTAGTGTAGAAATCTGTGGTAGTTTGTACTTCAGCTCTTTTGAATAAGGTAATAATCTCCATGTTGGGAGGCAGTCCAAATGAACTTCAGGTTGCCTGTCTGCTTCAGAACTGAGAAAGTTGATCCACCAGTAGTGATGAGAGCCCTAGGCTATACTTACAGCCTCCTTTGAAATCTTCAGTTCCAGATATGCTGGTTGGCCCTCTTGTCAAACAAGACATTGTTACAGGCTGTGTTTCTCTAGCCGCTTTTCATGTATATCATCTCTGAGACCAGCCTAAAGGTGAACAAGCAACATGCATGTGATAAACACCAGAGAGACAGAAGCTACTTGCCCCTCCATGTGTATGCACACGTCTAGATTTCTTTTTTGATACAGTGTTCATCTCTTTTGTTTTGCCATCTCTTTCCTTATTCTGATAATCCTTTGTATTTGTGCATCTCTGGTTAGACAGAAATTAAGAAATAAAGTAGAGTGTGTGCATGCTAAGTAGTACTTGTATAAAAATCTCTGGTGGAATACGCATATAGACAGAATATCTTGAAGTTGCTGTAAGTACATTCTCTTCTGCATTTAGGAAGAGAAGAAGACAAGTCTTAGTTCTATATGTCTCTTTTGGCTCTGTGATCTATAAAGCAGGGGAAATTAGTGAAAATTTATCCTGCATTCCAATAAGAAGTTACCGCATTGATTTACAGATCTCTTAGCCTTCAGCAGAAACAATTTGGTTGAAGAATCAGCAGCTACTAGGAATTTATCAAGGACACCACCACTATTTTAGTTTCCTTTTTAAGAGCTTTTGTGAAAAAGGAATGAGCTTCCAAAGTTGTTTACCTGTATAAGTTCCTCATATCATAGGTGATGGACTTAGCTTTAAGATTCTTCTGCAGTGATTTCAGGGACTTTAGGACTTCTCCAACAAGTATTTGATTTCCTGGGATGTTTAATACTACTCAGGTGTAGTTTTGAGCTTTTGTGCTCTTCACAATTCTTATTATCTCGCATCTTCCTTTTCTGATTCTAGAGTAAAATTTCACCTTTTACTGATTCTACAGATAAGCTTAATGAAAAAGCACATGGGTGCTTATCAGGAATAAAATTTGTGTGTCTGAGTTTGAGACATAAGGTTCTGCCACCTTTCTTCTATATTCCTTTTCCAATAAAACCAGCAACAACAAAATTCCTACACCATAGCAATGTAGCTTTATGCAGTTCTTTTGCTTGTAGGCCATACTCAGAGGTTAATGACTTTCCCTGATTCCATTCAAAGTGATTTTTCTTGTTCAGGTGATTTCAGGGATTGTGAATGAGGGTCATGGGATGAAAGCAATTTTCTGTTGTAGTTGTAATGTATATAAAACCTGAAAATGACATTATTTCCCAAGTAATAGTCCACTACATCTTCATACAAAAATGCTAAATGGCTAGCAAAGTCTATATTGCAAACACTGCAGAAAAATGGCATTATTTTCCTGTGGTATTTTTATAGCTTTCATGAAAGAGATGTGTTTCATTCAGGTTCTGGATTGTTTACTGGTGCAGAAGAGAGAAAACATTATAAATGAAAGTGCTTGTGCGTCAGTCATACACAATTTAACTTGATTTTGAATGTTGTTTGGGATGAACTCTTCCAGAGATTTGGCAAGGAGTGTTTCAGTGATGGAGTAGGTAGTGTTGGTAGGTATCCTAGGGATTTTGTTTATTTTTGAAAATATAGTCTTGCAATTAAATCTGTTAACTCTAAAAATGATAATAATGACATATCAGCATTAAGCTTTGAAATATTTGTCTCCAGGGATTCCTAGAATAATAAATTGGGTATTATTATATTCGGTGAGATCAGAGCTTCCTCATCATAGTTTTATTCTGAAAGTTAAAAATTTATCAAAGCAATAGTTACAAAAATCTGGAAAAAAGTCAAATGCTGTTTGCAATACCATTGCAAATGCTTCTTGTGAAACATTAGCAGTGTTCAGCAACAAACTGTGTATGCTTTAAATAAGATAGAAATGAAATATACCAGTGTAGCAGATACCTTTAAAGGGGAAATAAAAAATGAAAATCCTCTACTAAATACAACTCCATAGTATATCTATCTGCAAATAGTGTAGAATAAAAATATATTGTTTTGGCATTTGGAAACACTGCATACTTTTCTGTTTACTTGTCCGTTCCAACAAACATAAGACTTTGCTATTTAAGACTTGGCTTAGATGTGAGTCTGAATGCTTGGCAAAAGTTGTTGGTTTTAAAAGAAGTACTGGGATAATAGCACTTTTTTTTTTTTCTTCCTCCTAGGACTTCATGTTTTCCCCACGTTTGTAATATACGAACTCACAGTGTTACTCTTCCTTACATTGTCTGTGGTCATAATGAAGGTATTTGTTTCTTTTTTTAATCTTTAGATAGTCTGAATAGCACTGCATGTCACTATGAAAATTGCACAGAAACTGCACATCTAGTATAGCAATGAATATTACATCTTGACTGCAGTTGGAGAAATCTAGCTGATAGAATACAGTTTGATGTAACATTCTTTGTGTGTGTGTATTCTTAAAGAAAAGATCTTTCTTAATGTAAAAGCCTGTTACACATGGAGAAATGCCTATTTGTCTCACTTAGGATTCATGAAAAGTTATCAAATTATCAAATGTTTTATTATAGTAAATAAGATGGTACTTTTTACTCTGCTGTCTACCTTTTGCCTCTTTTGACATTAATACAGATAACATAATTAAAAGTCCACTCCAGTGTTGCATATGATGCAATGTATCTTCTATTGATTGTTCTATTTTATCTATTATACTTCCTTCATTTAAAAAGTAATCAAGAAAACAATAACAACACAGCAACAATTCAAAAAAACCAAAAAAATGTTCAATGTTCTCAAAGTTTGTCTTGGCAGTGCTGGTCCTTTCTCTGATTCTTCCAAAGACCAGCCAGTATATCAAATGGATTGTCTCAGCAGGACTGGCACAAGTCAGTGAATTCTCTTTTGTTCTGGGAAGCAGAGCACGCAGAGCAGGGATCATATCTCGGGAGGTAAGCTATTTTATAGTTATTAACTTTGCATTTTGCATCTCAGTATCTTACTGGGATTTTATTTTACAGTGTATTTGAAATACACACATATTTGGTGGCATCTCTAAATTGTTAGCAAATAATCAGCCCATACAAATGGAAACATGTGTCCTTGACAAGATTCGTAGTTTGATTTTTCACTCATTAAACTTCTTGGACTTAAAATATTAAAGCTGCAAGTTTTACATTTAAAATGACATTGTTACAAATGCTTTTTCTTAACTGTTCCTCCTTAGAGCTTCCTTATTAACTGAGCAGTAAATTGTAGCTACTACCCAAGTCACTAAGGCTTAGAAGCCTGTGCTTTTGAAATCTTGATACAGCTATAGGAAGAGGTAACTGAGAGCATAGGAATTGAGGAAGGAAACATCAATAAATTAGAGAGCAGGTATGGTGAAGTGGAAGTTGACCTAATATTTAAACAAACAAAGGAGGAAACAAACTTGTAGTCACCACCTGTGAAATTTGTTAATTTTAAATCCTCTGCAGAAGAAATAAGCTTTTAAAGCAGTTCTCAAAAAAAATGTCTTATGAAGGAGAACTTTAACTTACTTTTATATTCAAGTTACAAGAATACTGTTGTCTCCAGAGGAAATCTGCTTTGCAAACTTCAGTAAACTATAGCTACAGAGATGTAACAACTGACCCTGCTTTCTAAAGCTATGTGTGTTCTCCTCTGTGTCTCTGCTCACAAAAATACTCCGCTGCCTGGCTCTCTGAGCTTTCCATTGTGTGAGCAGTAGGCTGTATAATGCTGGAACCAATTCCAAATTAAGCAAGTGTGAAAAATTTACACAATGCTGTTCACTTGTGTATGTTAAGGTGATTCATTTTCATGTTTACTCCTGCATATAATTAGGAGTTATAAATACTGTATGTTTGTATAGAGTTTCAAGAGACCCATATGTGATTACAGAATCAATCTAGGGGGGCCCATCCAGTTTGTTTGGAGGGAGGCCTTTAGGCTTTCATTTTTCGTGCCGTTATCTACTGCATAAGTTTATGTAGCTCTGAAATTGCTTCAAGTCGCTCTTCTGTTTTCTTCCCACTGCCATTTTGTAAGACTCTTTCAGAATATGTAACCAAGACCTCGTTTCAGAAGATGTGTGGTATGACTTAGAGGAATTTTTGTTGTTTTTTTTAGTCTTTAAAATAGTAATGCACTTTGCAGTTACATATGCAAACCTGAGTTAATCTTGTTTTTTCATAAAGTGGTGTTTAGCCTTTGACTTGTTGGCTCTGCTTTCAAAATTGACCTCTTAACTGCAGATCTAAATAATTATTTTAATGTAAGTTCATTGTGCTGTTTTTGTAACTGAATGTTCAAACCGGGTGAACAGATGTTTTGTGCTTGCACTTGTATGTTTTTATAACAGTGTTTATAACTGTGTATGTTTATAACATAGGTGGATGAGGAGACAGGTGAAGTTTCCTGAAAATACTGTTGAGAAATGTCCGATCTCATCAAACTTCCAATAGTTTCTTAGTTTGCCTTGTAACTGTGGAGAGCTTTTATTTCCAATTTCCAGGTCTATCTTCTTATTCTGAGTGTGACTACTCTAAGCCTTTTACTTGCCCCTGCCCTGTGGAGAGCTGCAATTATGAAATGTGTTCCAAGGCCTGAAAGACGCTCAAGTACTTGATAAGACTTGCACATGAACAAGAACACATCTTCTTGCAAACATATCTTCATTGCTCATTGTATTTCTATGCACTTGGAAAACGAGAGGTTTTCAGTAGTCCTCTTAACATGCACTTGGTAATAAGCCTTACACTGACCTTAAAACAAAATTCAACACTAAAGAATTGTTTGATTTTAATTGCACGCCTCTTACAAAACTGGCTTTCTCTGACAGATTAGGATCTGCCAGACTATTTTTTTTATCTGATCAATTATGCAGTCTAAATTATTTTTTTAACTGTAGCATCATGCAAATTTTGTTGATTATTTTTTTTTTTGCCTGAATGTGCCTTTTAATTCTCATCCTCCTTTCGTTACTGTTAATTCACCACCAGATTTTGTTTAAAAAAGAAAAAGAAAAAAAGTGTACTATGGTGCCTATGGTATCTCCTTCCATTAAATGACTTGAGTCATTTTTGCATTTAGGAATGAGTTCATTAGAGCAGTGTAAATTCAATCACAAAACAAATCTGTAATGGTGAGTAAAAGTCTTAGTCCTTTCTACAAAGTTTAACTGTTAGTATCAAACTGTTTTAAGCAGTCAAATACGTATTCCAAATGATGCAGCCAACATTGTGTGCTACTTTGTTCCAAATTACAGCATATAATGTGTTTTCTTTCAGTGGTAACTTCTGTTTGTGTTAGTTCTTGCATTTATTTACATACTTGATTATAAGTTGATGGTGAAAAAGGGCATAACTTAAGTTATATTTGAAGACTGACAGTTGTCATGCATTCCTGTTCCTAGCTACTGTTACAGTAATTGTTTACAGTTTTGTTTGTTTGTTTTAAATCCAAAATAAACTTAGTAGATATGGATAGTCTAATTTCAAGCAGATGTTTTTAAAAAAAAATCACTGCAGAGGTTGGATGTTATTTATAATATTCTGCATTTGAAATTATTTTGAGTAAATTAATTTGCACAAAACTAGAAAGGGCAGCTTGAATATGTATTTGGGACTCCACAACTTTATACTTTGCATTTATATTGAATAAATTGTTAGTCTTTTAAAATATCATGATATTTAAAGAAAGATTGAATGTGATCTTAGATGTAAGTGCTTTGTTCTTTAAAACATTATAGATAAACAGGATGCACCTTGTAAAAGCCTATTCCAGAAGAATCATAGAGAAGATTTAATTCATAGACTGTAGTCTACTCTGACAATTTAAAAATCATCCTGAGGTTTATCTGTTTAAAACAATGCTATTAAAATATATTAACACTTCAGGTCAGTATTATACTGTCATTTGAAACAACTTTGATGCCCACCAAACAGCTAGAAAAATGTATGTTATGTAGGTTTAAATTGCAAATTAAAATGGAAGGCTGCCTTCCTTCTGTTTTATCAGCTGCACTGCTCAGCTTGGTGTCATTCGGAAACATAGAGAGCATGCACTCAATCTCACTGTATGTCACTGATAAAAAGGTTGAAAAGCACCAGTTCCACAACGGACCCCTGCAGACAGTACTCATCACTGGCCTCCAACTGAACACAGAGCCATCTACAACAACCTTGTGGCTACAACTATCCAACCAATTCATTACTGACTGAATAGTCCACCATTCAAATCCATACTTCTCTAGTTTAGAGATAAGGATGTGATGTGAGACTGCGTCAAAGGCCTTGCACAAGACTAGGTAGACGACTTCAGCTGCCCGTCCTTTGTCCACTGATGTTGTCCCTCCTCCACAGAAGGCCACCAGACTGATGGGGTACGATCTGCTCTTAGTGAAGCCGCACTGACTCTCAAATTGCCTCCTCATTTCCTTAACCCCTCTTCCAGGAGGATCTGCTCCATGATCTTCCCAGGCACAGAGATGAGGCTCACCAGCCTGGAGTTCCCCAGTTCTTCCTTTCTCCCTTTCATAAATATGAGAGTGATGTTTTTCTTTTTCCGCTCATTGGGAATTTGCCTGACAGCCATGGCTCCTCAAATATGATGGAGTGGCTTGGTGACCGCATCAACCTGTTGTTTCAGGACCCTGGGATGCATGCTATTCAGGCCCCGTAGACTTGCACACATTCAGTCTCATGAGGTGGTCTGAGACTTGGTCTTCTAAAAGAGATTCTTCTAAAGTTTTACAGTATAGTTTAACATCTACCAAATTAAACTTCTAAACTTTATTTCTTAACTAGGAAAAGAAAGCTTAGTCTGTCTACTGTTCTAGTCTATAGTTTTTTCTTGAAATACAAACTTCTCAATGCCTTGGTTTGGAAAGATGCTCTTGCACACTCTATGGAAAAGAAAGGGAGGAAGGGAGAGAAGAAGGAAGGCCATGATAGACCATGAGAGAGGCCTCTATCTGGGTTCCAGCATTTCTTTCAGCCGGTGGGCCCTTGAAACTATTATACAAATATTACATCTGTGGTAAGTAAACCTTTTGTATAAATAAACTGCTATGATTAGTTGTATTTCTCTGGAAAATTCCTGTTAGGAGAGTAGGGATATTGATGGCTTACATCTCTTAAGAGAAAAAATATTTTTTTTTTTTCATGATTACCTTTTAAAAGATTTGAGTGAAAAGTCCTTCTGGTACCATTGTCCAAACAGCAGGTATCTAGGTGACCTAAGGGCTGTCTCATCCCTTTTATTTCTTTCCTAAATAAGTTCTGATTTGGTCATGATGGAGGAAAGAAGTAGTAATATCAATATTCTGTGTCTCTTTGTTGATGCAGCCTGGGATTATCTGATTGGATACCAGATGCAAGTCCAAATTACCAATTAGACACATAAGTTTGTTTACAATTACATGGTTGAGACTCTCCCACAGAAAGCTGGAGGTATATTTAGATATTGTCAGTATTTCCTACAATGCAAGGAATGGCTTCATCCACAATTCCATATCAAAACTGGGTGGTCTCATGATAAAATCTTAGGATAGAAACAATAGGTCTTAATTCTTGAATGATCTGTTAGGGGAGAAAATATTTCACAGTTGGATCACTTAGAAATTAATAACCACAGCTCTTCAGGAATAATTTACGAGCTGGTGGTGTGGCCTATGGTTATACTTTGTGATTCATTTCCCTGTTCCCAGGGCCAGATTGGTATATCTTGCCCCACAACCACTCTTAGGTACAGCTCATCCCATATGAAGTCTGTGCTTCAGTTTCTCATTTGGAAGTTATCTATGGGAGCTGCAAGGTAACTACTTGCAGCCCTAGCATAGAAAGCTCAAGGAATGCTGCTGTGGGAACCTAAACAGAACTTTCTGAGAGCTTTAAGAGTTCCTATTTCCATCTTCAAAGATGAGGAGAAAGCAGCCTCACAGTACCTATCTGGTTTTACAGTTGGATATCCTTTGCTTTGTGGGCAGAGGGGCACATGGGAGTGCCTCGCATGAGAGAACAGTGCTATAGGATGGTGCGTGATGGAGAATGAGAAACCTTGTGTGGTCTTGCTGCCTGCTGGAATGAACCCAAAACAGTTAACCACAAAAGCACTCCTGGGTTTTGTCTAGGGAAGGAATGTATTTCTGCTCTGTAAGCAATCCTGGCAGTGCTCCAGCACATGGGCAACATGGAGTGTGGAGGAAACTGGACCTCTAAATGACAAGGGTAAGCTGTACTAGCAGTGTTAGTAGCTTGGCTGGATATGGCAATAGCTTATTAACAGCAGCAAGTACCAGTCAAACCACCATAAGCTGATCTGACAGTGAAGGAAGGCAGTGATGCCAGTGAAAAGAGAAGGAAATGCAGCAAGATGTTCTAAGAGCTGGGAATTGTGTGGCCCACCCTGCCCTGAAGGAAACAGGCGGAAGATAAAGATACGGGTCTACCAGCTTCATGGAGCAGGAAGCTTGTTTCTTTGGATCTCTCACAGACTTCATTGAGTAATTAACACTGCCAGTGGGGAGAGGCTTCTTGACAGTAGGGACAGCGAGACAGCGAGGAACACCAAGAGAGACTAAGGAATCTCAATTTCTGCAAATAAAAGACAAACTGGACAATCACATGACCAGAGGGCCTAGGGACAGCTGATCCTGCCTTGGGGAATAAAACCTAGATCAGATGAATGGCAAAACTCTTAAGGTTACAGAGCCAAGCTGTATTTTTATTTCCTAAAATAGAGCAGAAATTTGAGAAATGGGAGATAGTACCTCCCAAGGAGGCCAAATGCTGACAAGCTTATCAGCTGGTATGAGGTCTGTATTTAAGGAGCTCTCACAGGTCCCTCTCTTAAGACGGCTTGGCTTCAATTTTCAAAAATCAAAATGTGTCCCTGTACACATTCTCTGGCACATTGCAGGTTTCTGATTGCAAGTTAGTTAAAACATGTTTTCCTCCTCTCTGCATCTGCTGTGGAGTCACAGCAAATTGATGCTTGGAGTTGTGATCTGTTCTCATTCTGAAGCGTGCTGAAGATGGAGAAGGAGGCCACAGACATACAGTAATGCACAGCAGCCTTCCCACAGATACAAACAAGTCTTACATCTCCAAAACACCTGATGGAGAAGAGAAGATGAAGAGAGAGCAGAGAGCTGAAGTTCTTCCTGCTGGTGCAACAGCAAAATTACATGACAGATGTAAACAGAAGAATTAGAGTAATTAAAAAGGTGGTCTTCAATCACTTTCTGTACTGACTGTGGTCTAGAAAGTATCGATTCTTGTTTGCAGTGAAGCTATATGGTTTGCAGAAGCAGTGGTACGAGGTTCATATTCTGTCCTTTGTTACTGCTCCTTAGCTCTAAAAAGCTAGTATAGTTTTCTTAATTCCTATAAATCACAACTGGTAATGAATTATTTTCTCACCTTTATGAGAAGATTCTGTCTATCTTCCTCTGTACTTGAGAAGCTACAAGTTTTCAGCCTAAGAATTTTCACAGAATCACCGCATGGTTTGGGTTGGAAGAGAGCTCAAAGCCCACCCAGCCCCAACCACTGCTGTGAGCAGGGCTGCCGCCCACCAGCTCAGGCTGCCCAGGGCCCCATCCAACCTGGCTTTGAGCACCTCCAGGGATGGGGCACCACAGCTGGTCTGTGAGGTATAACTTAAAGCATGAGAGGAACTGTCTGGTTGCTCAGTGTAGTTGTTAAATTCCAATTTTCTAAAAGCAATTATTTGCTTTTTTTGTAGTTCCTTCTTTGCCCTGGGACAGACATGCCTCATTGTCTATTGAGGATGCAATCCTGGAAATTGCAGGTCATTAGGATACTGGAGCAAATTTTTCTTGGAAAAATTAATGTAAATGGGGTGCTGGGGTTGTAGACAAGGACTTGAGTTTTACAAATAGTTTAAATATGCATAGTATCTATCTATATAGCATCTGTTTTAAGGTGCTCAATGTTTATTTAGTGTGGGTTGGTCTCTTCTCACTGGTGACAGGACGAAGGGAAATGGCCTCAAGTTGTGCCAAGATAAGTTCAGGTTGGATATTAGGAAAACTTTCTTTGCAGAAAGTTGTGAAGCACTGGAATTGGCTCCCCAGGGAGGTGGTGGAGTCACCATCCCTGGATGTGTTTAAAAGCCGTTTGGATGTGGTGCTCAGGGACATGATTTAGCGGAGGCTTGTTAGAGTTAGGGTAGGATGGTTAGCTTGTGGTTGGACTCCATAATCTTTAAGGTCTTTTCCAACCTGAGCAATTCTATGATTCTATGAAGGTTCTCAGTCTCTTCCTGTGAAGTTGCACACACATTGTACATTCGCTGTTATCTTCTTTCTCAGCTTTCCACTGCCATCATGCCCCTCCAGGAAGGAAGAATGGGGAGATGGGGCCATGGTGGCTGTCAGTGCAAGGCACTGCATGGCCATGGTACCTGCAGCAGTTGAGTGGGACAGACACAGTGAGGGGTTACTATGAAGGAAACGCCTTGAGGAGCGCTGTTATCAATGACTGAGGTTGGAAAAGACCTTTCAGATCATCTGGTCCAGCATCAGCCCATCCCCACCGTGCCCACTGACCACATCCCCTCAGTGGCACATCCACGCGGTTCCTGAACACCTCCCGGGACGGTGACTCCATGGGTGATGTCTTCCCTAGGTGTGACTGGCGCTCAAGCCAGTGGAAGCGCCGGCACGTCGCTGCAGCACCCAACCGCACGTCCCTGCCGCCCCCTGCGCCCCTCAGCTCGCCGCGGGGCGCCTCCCCGCAGCGGGTCGGCCGATGGAGGCGGCGCCGCGGATGCGGGGCAGCGCGGCGCGTTCCCGCCCCCTGGCGGCGCCATCGCGACCACGTGCCCGGCCGAAGAGCAATCTCGCGCCGGTGCTTCCCGCGCGCCCGCCGCCAGAGCCGCAGGGCGGGGAGTCGGAAAGCGCGAAAATCCCGCGCATGCTCCCTCCGCCCACGGAGGGGCGGACGGTTGGCTTAGGCGCTCCGCGTGTGCCCGTGCAAGGCACGCTACACCCCGTGACGTCAACGCGCAGCGTCACGCCGGTGGGACGCACAAAAGTGTAAGTTTCAATTTTTTTTACCCCCCCCTCCCAACAGCCGCCCCCCCCCCCCCCCCGCTCCCTCCATTGTCGGCGGGGGAAGAATAAAAATAAAAATAAAATTAAGAGAAAGGAAGCGCGCGGCGGGGTCGCGGGGAGGGGCCGCCGCGCTCGCCTCCCCCCCCCCTACTGCAGCCGCCCCCCGGGCAGGTGTGCGAGGGCCACGGGCCGCGCGGTGACAGCCCGCACGCGGCGCCCCCCCGT